TGCGCCCCGCCTTTTTGGTGCTGTCCTTAGAGGTTCTGCGATGATGGGCTGAATCGGCAAATGGCGCGAGAGAGAGAAGCCGCAGTGGGAAGCGGCCATACGCGCGCTGTCGCCCAATCGGAGCAGGGCGAGTTGCGACAACGACAGCTCAAAATCGGTCCGTGGACCCCTCCCTAGGTCCGAATGCACCAGCTTCCCGAGCTGCGACCGGCCGTGGCGACGAGGCGACCCCCCGAAGGCTAAATGCCCTTGTCTCGACTCGCCCTGCTCTGACCCCCCCTCACCTCCCCAGACGTCCGATGTCGTGATTTGTTGTAGACGCGATCCCCGAAAGACCCGACGTTTTCCCCATGACGACTTTTGAGTCCGAGTCTTTTGTTGACAGTCCTGGGGCCCAGTAATGGCCCCAAGAAGCCGAAAACAGCTCGAAACCTCCATCTTCTGATCTTCGAGCAGGGCCCGACTGCTTCGCGGTGCTTCCGATGCTCTCTGAGAAGTGGCGCGTTGTCGCCCATGCACTGTGCGAGGCCGCCGGAGCACTCGGACTGGCATCTAGCAGCACGCATGGCTCGTGCTGCATGGTGGCGTCGCGCATGCGCCGCGCTTGGCGGTGCATCGCGGCGGGCGCAGCGGTCGGCGGCCACAGCAGCCACATCACGCCACGCCCGCGGCGGTCTGGACCTGGCGTCGTCGGACTTCGCCCCCGCGCAGAAGGCAACTGCGGTCTATCCGAGAGGGCCGACACCCACGCCGCGGGCGTCGCCCCCGAAAGCCTTGGGCGCTTCCGTGCGCCACTACTGGATACTTAGCCGACGCGAGCCTGCGTCTCTCAGCTACACCGCATCCGAGGTCGCTTCCCGAGAGGGAAAGCGGCACCTCTGATTGAATGGGCACCCCCGCCGCCGCGGCCAAATCATCCCTCCATACGCCCGCGCTTTCCCAGACGTCGAGGATGACCGCTGGCGCGCGGACGGCGCCGAAAACAATTGCCAACTCAGCAAACATGTCGGCAGGCGGAGATCCAGCACGCATTTGATTAAACGGGAGGAACACAAATCTGAGTCAACAATTTGTTCGGAGATCCGCGCTGGTGCCTTGGGTCTGGCTGTGGGCGCCCGCACTTCCCAAGCGGACTTGGGCCAGCGCAACTCCGCCGCGGCCAGCCGTGCTTCGCGCTGTGGAACAGCTGGAAGCAATCCCAAAAGGCACTACAATATGACCTGCAGGCCCGAACGTCGCACGCAACGCACCACCGCACGTCCATGCGTTCTTTCTCCCCTCGTTCTACGATCGGCAGCCCGACCCTGCCCGTCCTACGTTTCCCCACCACCCTCCTCGTTCTCTCGCTACTCTGACCTCTTTCGCCTGATCTTCCTACCAAGAGAGGGGACAGGTGGCGCAATGGACACCTGAGCTCGGAAATTATCGGCCAGTCGCCTGGTCCATCAAGTGCGACAAGTCACCCGTGTATTTGATCTTCACCAACCACCCATCCTGGGGCGGAAAGAAGAAGAATTTGGAGTCGGAAGGGGGTGGGGGAGAATGCAAAAGCCGGGGAAAAGGAGAAGGAGGAGGAAGAGGAGGACGAGGAAGAAGAGAACTGAAGGAACAAGAGGAGGATGAAAAGGATAGCGAAGTGGAGCAGGAAGGAATGGGCGATGATGCGGGTGATGATGACGACGATGATGATGGTGATGATGATGATACTGCTGATGATGGTACTGATGATAAGTATGATAATGATGATGATGATGATGTTGTTGATGATGATGTTGTTGATGATGATGACGATGATGGTGGTGATGCTACTGGTGGTGGCGGTATGTGATGATGGTGATAGTGATGGGGATGACAGTTGATAATGATGATGACGACGACGGCGTTGAACGACGATAGCGATGATAACGAGCACCAAAAAAATACCGCGGTCGCCGAACGGCTCGGCGCGTCGCACCGCGACGTTGGGCGCGACGCTCGACCCTGACCGCGCGCAGCAGTGCCCCGAGCCGACGGTCGCTCGGGCACTAGCCACCAGCCTGCCCGCCGCAAGCCACGCTGAGCGCCAAGTGCGAACTCCCATTGTCACCGAGCGCTGAGCACTCGGCGGGGGCGCCCAGCCGCGCGCGCGCTACGCGCGCGCGCGCGCAGGCGCCGACTAAATGCCCAGCGCCTCGTGCTCCACCCGGGCGCAAAAGCCGAGCCTTTCTCTTCATGCAGCGCTGTCGGACGAGCAATTGCCACGGGCCTCGAGAACGGCGCCCCGCTCCAAGGTCTCGAGGCAGCGCTCCGCCATCCGCTCGCGTGGAGCATCTCGGACAAGACTGCACCGCGCTCGACTAAGTCGAGCGCGCGCCCGCGTCGAAGCGCTTTCGCATCTGATTCATCCAGACGTTCGGCGCACACCGCCCTCACTGCAATCTGGATGGCGGCCACGGCGTCGGCCGATGAGAAGCTCGCAAATGCCTGCGCGCCGAGGCCCGCCGACCCGAAGAAAGCGCCAAGGACGCGCGCCCGGCGCGCGCCTTTGCCGCCCACGGCGCGGCACCAGCACGCGCGCTGCAACGCAAGGGGTGGTTCCAAATCCTTGCGCCGCCGCAAACGCAAGCCTAAAGCCTCTGCAAATAAGCGCGACGACGGGCGGCGGCGCCCACTGGATGCCGAGCCATGGAAGACAGCGGGCAAGCCCCCATTTCGGAAGCCGCAGCCTTAGCGCATCCCCGAAGAACATCGGCATCGGCACATCTCTTCTGACAGACGCGGCCGCCCCTGTTGAGAGGCTCGCCGCGAGAACTCTGGTCAGGGGGGCGCGCTGCGCGCATCGTCTGACTCTTTGAGCGCAAGGCACCTCTTCGCGGAGCTCAATCGCGCGCGATTCCTTTCACGGTCGCCGAAGGTAGCAGCCGACACAGACAGCAAGTCGGACGCCGCGCGCGAATGCCCACGCAAATTCGCGGACGTGCCACCCACGCAGAACTGCGCACTGGCAACGTGGAGACCCCCCGCGCCGATAAGAGAAAGGCGACTTCCGAACCTGGACACACTATGAAATGCGCAACAACCCACGCACCGAGGATGAACAGCTCTGCACTGAACGAGGACAACGGCCGAACGCCGCGCCCAGGCGCGCCCACGCGGGAAACGCCAGCGCTCGGGCGGGCCCATCACTGCGACGCCGTCGAGGGCCCGCCGCGGCCTTTCACTGGGTGCGGCCACTTGGTTCCCGAGCGAAGCAACACGCTCAGCCTCGGCCTCGACCGCCCCATCGAGCTCGCGAGCTTGCTGCTGGCCCCCTGCAAAGTCGCCGGGGCGCAAGAGCGCCGCCACCCCTGCCGCATCCCAGGGAGCCCGCCCGGCAGCGGCCCGGGCTGCGGCCGCGGGCGCACTGCGACGCCCGCCCCGACGCCGCTGGGCGGGGGGCCGGGCGGAGGTCGCGGCCCTGGGCGACCCTGTCGCTCAACGCGCGCAGCCTAGGGCCCGGTGGCCCGCGGGCCAGGGGTCGGCGCAGGTTCTGCCTCGTTGCAGCGCTCGCAGCGCCCTAAGGAGAAACCACCGAGAGCCTGCGCGCCCCCTGATATTCTCGATTCGTCGATGCACCCGCGCGCGGCCACGGCGCGCGACAGACTGCGGCCCGCCGGCGCGCCACCTCATGAACGCGCCACTGCGGTGCGCCAACTGGGGCCAGCTCAGTTGCGCCTCGACGTCGAACATTACCCGCGAAACACCTCTCGCGACTTCAACGGCGCGACGAGCTTGACATGAGCCTGGCGAAGGACCCAACCATACGCAGTTGTGAACACCGCAATTGTGAATCTATTATTCGGTGGCGCTCCCTATGGGGTCACGAACCGTATGAGGGTTGTGCCGAATTCTGTGATAGGGTACACTACACGAACGAAAACGATGGGTCTGAGTATGAAAGCTTGAGCGCGGGCGAGTCTAAGCGCGAGTGATGCTGACGGGTGAATATGCGTGCGAATGATTATATTTGCATGACTGCGAGCATGGAGTCGCCTAGTGTAAGCGCATACGACTGTGAATGGTTTGGGTCTGCCTGACTCTGGGAACTCGTGACACTGAGCGTCGCTTCTGCAAGGAGATCCCCTGGGAACCCCGACGGCAGCGCCTGCGCGCCGCGACGCCCATGTCGGCACGCCCCACCCGAGGATCGCGCTCGCTCCCCCCCTTTGTCTTCCTTCCTCTTTGCCCGCGCACTCCAAAGTTAGATGCTGCGGGCGCAGCGCTACGCGGTGCCCCCGCGACGCGCGCAGGTCGCCACGAAAGGGTCGCAGTGACGCGCGCACTTCGTCCGCTGCGCGCAGCAGAGAGCGCCAGCAAGCTACGACGGACGACGTCGACGAAGAAATCGGCCCCAGGGAAGCCGTCGGGACCACCAGCTCCCTATGGGGCCACGAAACGTGCGAGGGGTGTGCCGAATTGGGCGTGCGGGACGCATGCGGGCGGCGGCACTGGGGCCTTCGGTGCAGCTCCCTATGGGGCCACGAAACGTGTGAGGGGTGTGCCGAAGTGGGTGTGCGGGACGCATGCGGGCGGCGGCACTGGGGCCTTCGGTGGCCGAATTGGGTGCGCGGGACGGCGGCACTAAAGGCATGAACGATTCTTGCCCCGGTGCCGGTGCCGGTGCCGGTGCCGGTGCCGGTGCCGGTGCCGGTGCCGGTGCCGGCGCCGGTGCCGGTGCCGGTGCCGGTGCCGGTGCCGGTGCCGGTGCCGGTGCCGGTGCCGGTGCCAGTGCCGGTGCCGGTGTCGGTGCCGGTGCCGGTGCCGGTGCCGGTGGCTGGTGCCGGTGCCGGTGGCTGGCGCCTGTGGCCGGTAGCCGGTGCTGGTGCCAGTATTGGTGCCGGTGGCGAGTGGCCGGTGGCCGGTGGCCAGTGCCAGCGCCGGTGCCGGTGCCGGTGCCGGTGGCCGGTGCTTGTGGCCGGTGCCGGTGGCCAGTGGCCCGTGGCTGGGGCCGGCGCCGGTGCCGGTGCCAGTGCGCGGTGCTGGGTGTCGACACCAGCACCGCTGGCACCGGCACCGGCTGCCCCAGAGAAGGATCCAAGACGACCCAAGGGGGCTCCAAGATGGCCAGGGAGGGACCCAAAAGGACACCAACTCGGCCCAAGGAGGTCCTCAGACGGCCCTGAAGGCCTCCAGAGAGCCCCAAGACGACCCAGAAAACCCACCAAGACGGACTCCGAAAACGCCAGACGGCCGCGCCAGGGGGCCCCAAGGAGCTTCCGAAGTTCCCCCCCGCGGGACGCTGCCAAGACGCCACGGAGTACACAAGGCCCGAGGTGTCACGCGTGACGGCCTCCCGTGCCCCCTCGCACACTCGCAATCAAGAATGCTAGGGTGACACGGCGGCGGGACTTGCCGCAAGCACCTCCTCCTCCTCCCCTTCCTCCTCCTCCTCCTCCTCCTCCTCCTCCTCCCCCTCCCCCTCCTCCTCCTCCTCCTCCTCCTCCTCCTCCTCCTCCTCCTCCTCCTCCAACTCATCGTCATCACCTTCCTCGTCGTCGTTTTCCTCCTCGAAATCTACGCGCCTATGAGCGGGCGAGTCGGGACGGGCGGGCGGACCCTAAAGGACGGTCGGGCGAATCGGGCGGGCTGACTTTAACGGGCGGATCGGGCGGGGCCCTAAAGTGGGGGGGGCATCATTGACTGGCGGGCGGGGCCCTAAAGTGGGCGGGGCCCTAAAGTGCGGGGGGCATCATCGACGGGCGGCGGGGGCCGTTCCCCAGGGGAAGGGCATTATTTAATCATAGAAGTGCCTGGGTGGACTAGTTCAAACATGATTTATGCGCGACATATGCCAAAGCACGCGTTGCAAAACGTGCGCAGCATGCACGTAATTCTGCAGATCTGAAGCTAAATGCTACTCAGGTGTGGGCGAGCTGGACAGATCCAGCCCTGGAGTCTCCAACTCCGCCTGATCTAGCGCGCTCGAACTCGAGCTCTAGTGCTCCTGCTCAAAATACGTATGAGCGGGCGCATGCGGGTAAAGCAAAACTGATCTTATAGAGGTTATCCGACTCATCCTACTAAGCCTGATGAGGCTCGACGCTCCATCCCCCCTCTGCTTGGCCCCTCCGCCTGTCCCCAACCCCCCCGCCTAATGCAAGCCGCCAGGCGGCGTGCTCGGAGCTGGCGGGCGCAAGCCCTGCGAAGCGCCCATCGCGACCGGCTCCGCGACGCCAGAAGCACTGGGCGGCGCGTCAGGGGCAGCGCCGGCGTCACTCGCCCGGGCGCCGCGCGAAGGCGGGGGCTGCGCGGGGGGGCCGGCCGCGCGGCTCGGCGTCGCGTCAGCGAGCTGCGGGCGCCCCTCGTGGAACTGGGCGCGCTTCTGTGACAGCTGCCTCAGTGACACGCGGCAGCAGCGCATGAGCTCGTTGTGGAAGAGCGTCCTCCCAAGTTCTGAGTCGGGCCAGCCCTTGAGAAACACCTCGCCGTTCTGCTCCTGGCACTCCCCCAGGCGCGGGAACTGCTCGAAGGCCGCCTTAAGCACCGCCACCGCTTCGGGCTTGGACGGGCGCGCTCGCCTCTTCCGCTTTGCGGGGGCCTCTTGGTCCGACACGGCCACGCTGTAGAGGTCGACGCAGGCGTTCACGGAAATCTGGCTTTTCCCGGCCAGGAGCACACGACGGATGAGCTCTCTGTCCTTGAAAGCTGCCTTCGTGAAAACCATGGCCCCCCCTTCGCCAAGGCCCTGATTGTCGAATTGCGCCTCGCCCGCCAAGTCCGCGAACGTCAGCGCGCGCTCGCCCGAGCCCGGCGCCTCGCCTCCTGTCGGGGGGGCACCGGCCAGATCGCTCTCCGCGGCGCCCGGACTGGCGGGCTGCGAGACGTCGACATTGCCGCCGCCAGCCCGCGCGGCAGGGCGCGCAACGTCAGCCACCAGGCCGCCAGCGGGAACCGGGCCCTGGGGCGCCGCCGGGCAAGCTGGCACCTGCGTGGAGAGCGGCGCGGCGTACGCATGAGGGTGATAGCGACCCCGAACAGGGCGCGCCAAACGCCCTGGCTCGCTGTCGCCGTCGCTCTCGCCGTCGGCAGCGTCGCCTGCGGGCGCGCAATTCAAGGAGGGAGGGGGTCGACCTGGCCTAACACCTCCTCCTCCAACACCCGAATCCTAAGACCCCCACCCTAACCCCCGTAACCCTGACACCCTGACCCGAACCCTAACACCCTCATCCTGACGCACGAACCCTGGCCCCATAACACCGAACCCTTTAAACCCTAACCCTGGCACAGTAACCCTATCACTAACCGTGCCCCTAACGCGCTGACGCTAGCACCATACCATAACCCCAACACACTAACCCTAACACCTCAACCCTAAGACCCCCCCCCCCCCGAAACTGAACCCTGACCCCGCCTAAACCCGAGCGCGCTAGCCCTAACCGTAACGCTCGAAACCTAACATCCTTAGCTTTCCACCATAACCCCACCACCTTCACCCCAGCACCACAATCAAAACACCGTTGCCCTAACACCCTGACGCGAACACCCTAACCGTACCCTAATGCGAACCCCAAGAAAGCCCGAGCACCGTATCCATGGTCCTAGCAATATCACTCAAGTTCTAACGCACCCTGGCCCAAACCTTAATACACCAACCGTGACGCCCTCACCCGAACCCTGACACTCGAACCCTAACTCCTTACCCCTTACACCCTAACCCGAACACCCTTGCTCTCGCCATAGCACCCTGGCCCCAACGCCCGAACCCTACCACACGTTTCCTCACACCCTGACTCTAACCGAACATCCACACCCCCTAAGTCGAACACCCTAACCCTCACACCCTAACCTGAACACAACACCCGAGCCCGAACATCCCAGTCCCAAACCTAGCACCCTGGCCATAACACCTTAGCCCAACCACGAACACCCTAGACCGAACCATAAGCCCGAAACCCGAACACCCTAACCCTTACACCCTCACACCCTCTCACTAACACCCTAACCCTGAACCGAAGCCCCATGAACCTAACTCAGACACGGTAACGCACTAATCCTGACACCCTGACCCAAACACCCGAAACCCGCTCCTTTCACCCACACCCTCACCCCAACACACTGACCCAAGCCGGGGCCCGCGCACGACCATTCCGCATTCCCCAATCAGAGCTTGCCTCTGTAGGGGTCCTAGCGGATTCATATGGTTAGGTGAGGTGGGGCGCCGATTACGGTGGCAGGGGGCCGGGTGCCCGGGTGTCCCGATGCCCGGGTGCGTCGTCGCCGATTTCGGTGGCCAGGCCAGGGTGCCTGGGCCCCCAGGAACCTTATAGCCCCATAGCACAATCGCCATATAGTTCGATCGCCCTATATTCCTATAGTGCCCTATAGACCTATAGCCCTATTGCCCTATAGCCCTTTAACCCTATAGCCCTATAGCCCTTTAGCACTATAGCATTATAATCCTGTAGCCCTATAGCGCCCTTTAGCCCAATGGCCCAAATAGCGCATATAACCTTGTATATATAGCCCTATAGCATAATAGCCCTATAGCCCAATAGCCCTATAGCACAATAGCCCTATAGCCCTATGGCCCCACAGCCCTATAGCACTCTAGCCCAAGAGCCCTATAGACCTCTAGCCCAGCAGCCCAATAGACCATATAGCCCATCTAGCCCCATACCCTCATAGCCCCATAGCCCCCAAACCATAGGATTGGGCTTTTCTCCGGTATATATGTTGATGCGGATGGGGCGTCGGCTCTGCCTTTTCAAAGAAGCCAGGTGCACCGTCTTCGTCCAGAGCAGCTCGCCATATGGTCCGGATGGCAATGCTGATGTCGAGCATGCGCCTGGCGCACTGGACGTGCTGGGTGGCGATGAGCGGCAACCCCGAGGCCGCGTCCAAGGTGCCCCCGCCTCCAGCGTAATCCAGCACGGCAACGAGAGCAGCCTGAAATCCCTGCTGGCCCGCGGCGTTGGCCTCCAGCGCAGCCAAAGAAGGATCGTCGTCTCCTCGGGTGGCGAAAAACGTGCAACCCCAAATGCGCGCGCAACCTGGGGTGAAGGTTCCTGGGGGAACCTAGATGTGCAACCCCAGGTGGACCACCTGAAAAATTACACGTGCAACCAAGGGTGAAGGTTCCTTCCTACGTCGAAAACAACGAACGAAAGATGTGCAACCACGCATGACGGTTGTCGAAAACCGAAATGAGTGCAACCCAGGGTGATGGTCTCGTGGCGAGGAGAAACCCGCACCCCAGGTTGCACTCGCAGCTGGGGTTGAACGTTTTTGGCTCTCTGATCTCCTCGCAACTGCGCGCGGATGCTCTGTGCCACTTGGTTGCCCGTCATGATATTGCGTGCCTCCTCCTCGAACGGCAAGATCGCCTGCGGCTTCTTGGCGAAAAGCTCTGCAACCCTCCTGGCCCCCGCATGGATGTGGCCCGCGGGGTCCGGCAGGCCCCCCCTGTTAGAAATGCGGAACTCGGCCCGCAACTGCGCGTCGCCTACGTCGGACGGGGCAACCCGCAGGCATCGCAACCGGGACTCCTCGCCATCTGGGAACTCTACCTTGTATCCGCCAGCCGGGCCCACGAAACTGCGAGCCTGGGAATTTGCTGCCGACGCCTCGCCCGTCTCGGCGTCCCTCTCCAAATGCTGGGCCGCGGCCTCAGGGGCGTCAAGGTATGTCTCCCAGTTGAACGTCTGCGCCTGCTGGGGGGTGAGCGGCAGCCACGCCCGCGCGGAGACGCCGCGCGGGAGGCGACTCCCCGCGGGCAGCGCAGCGTGGCGCGCAGTGGCCTGGTCAATGCAGACGACGAAGCGCTCCTTAGTGCACGCCGTGTGGTTACCCACGATCCCCCTGTCCATGGCTGTGAATTTCCGAGGATGTCCGTTGCCGAGCAGAGACACCGAGACGCGTTTGCCGCGAGACTCGCCAAAGGTCGCGCTTGTGCGAGTTGCCCGTCTCGTCTTGCCACTCGCGATCAAAGTGTTCAGGGTGGACGCGTGGACCGTCGGCGCCCGATCCTTCTCTCCTCCTCCTCCACCTCCTCCTCCGCGGCCGGTAGCGAGAAGGCCGAGGCCGTCCCAGAACTCGCACGCCTCGTCTAGATTGAACGCCCTGCCGCCCCACACATCTGATAGCCTGAATTCGGCAGCCCGCCCGTCGCCCTCCGAAAAATCAACGAGGGGAAAGCCGCTGGAGCACCGGTAGAAGAATTCCGTAAAAGTGAAGCTTTGGAGACAGATACTCTTCACGGTCACGGGGGGGCCGTCGTCGAGGAGCGAGTCGACGCGCTCGCCAATGACGTCGTCGCACGTGTCGAAGATCTCCTCGCACACACTGAAAAGCCGGCTCTTCCCCGCCTGTGCGTTCCCTATCTGGAACACTGGTGCAATTAATGGAGTGGGCTTCTGGCTCCATATCTTGACGGCGGCGCCATTTGTAAGAGCCGCCATGGAGCCTCCAACCATCAAGGCGCTCGTGTAATACCCTGAGCACGTTGTGTTAACGATGGGCTCCAAGAACTCGCGCACCCTATGGGGGAGGTGCTCCGCCGGGCTGAACTCACTGGCGACGCGAGCCATCGCCCTCGCAAAGAGTTTCTTCACCTGCTTCTGGGACAGACTCTCCGTGTTCTTCCCTGCCATGGCCGCGCAGTGCGCGACGGCGCGGTGGCGTCGCGAGCATGACCTGCAGGACTCGCTGTGGCAATCCCACGAAGGGGGACCTTTGAGCCAGGGCGCTGCGTGCGAGGCTGGCAGATGGAACCTCGCAGCGGGGCAGCGAAGCTGGGGCCTTTGTCTCGCCTTCGAATCGGCATCTTCGCGCGGGCGCAGAAGCAGCGGCCCGACCTCCTCGCGCCCGCCGCGTCAGATCGATGGGCCGCCATGGGCCGTCTGCCACGCTTTTTTTTCACGATCGGCCAAATTCCCAAAACCTGCGGGGGGGCGGATAACCCCGCTGCGCGCTCCAAAACCGCGCCCGAGGCCCTGGCTATTGCAGGGCGACGGGAAGCACGACGCGCGCAGCGAAACTCCCACGGCCTCCAGAAATCTCCAAGACAGGGCCGCGAAGCTCTGAGGAAGCCCCAGGAGCTTTCGAATGCATTTTCGCCCCTCGCCCCATCCCTTCCCCCGTCGCACCCCGCGCCCCTCGCCCGACCCATGATCCGAACGTTGGCAGGAAGGAGAGGCCGCGAGAGGCCCCGTGCATCAGCGCTGTCTCGGCTTCTTCTCGGCCGAGGCCGAGGCGGCCTCGCTCGCCCGAGCTACCTTCCTGGCGGCAGCGGCCTGGGCGCCCCTCGTGCGCCCCAGCGTCTTCATGTTCAACGCGCCCACCATCTCTTGCACGTAGAACTGGGAGGCCCACCGGCCCACGCGGTGGATCACGTGGCCCAGCGGGGACAACTCGCTGTTCATGATTTCGCAGATGTTCGTGGGGAACTTGCTCAACAAGGCTTTGTTGGCCTCCAGCCCCGGCAGGCAATGTTCGCTGAGCCACTTGCCCACGTGCCCGCTGGAATGGTAATCGTCGACAATGTAAGCCGTCTCGGTTGCCAACCGCGCAGCCATGGCGGTGCCCCCCCCGTTCTTCTCCGCCATGAGGCGCAGGCGGCACGCGTCGTCGTGGACGACAATCTTGAGGTCGGGCATGTGGGCCGCCACTATGGCGAGGAATCGGTGCCGCTGGCTGAGGGGCTCAGCGCAAATGAGCTCTTCCACGTGCGCCACAATGCCAGACGCGGATGCGGCCGTCAGGAAGCCCGCTGCGCGGGCGGCTGCAACGATGTGCGCGTCCGTCTCCTTGCGCGTGGAACACTCGGAAGCGGCGCGTGGCCCGTTCGAACTCCAGGATGCCATGAAGCTATTTTCTTCGCGCCCTTTCTTGCCAGCCGCGCCCTGCTTTCGAAGCGCCACGCGGCGAGCCCGGCGCGCTTGGACGCGCGCGTCAGCCCCAGTGCCGAAATACGAAGCCAGCGCATCTGGAGAGACAGCGCGCGCGGGCTGCCAGCGACGCGCAAAGCCTTTCAGCTGCACCTCCAGGGGGGGCCAATCATCTGGCCCACGCAGGGCTCGGCGCAACCGGTGGTTGCACACAGTCTCGCGCGGCGCCGGCGGGTCAGCCACTAACGCCTCGGCACGCTTGCAGCACGTCGCCCCCTTCCCATGCGGACGGTCTGGGCACCCTCGCAAAAGGTATTTGTCCAGCTCGGCGCAGTAGACCACGTGAGAGAAAGGCATGCCGCACGTTCGGCGGCACAACTTGGCGCTGCCATCGATGGCAAGAATGTCTGCGCGGTCTCCAGACAAACGGACCTGCTCCAAACGCCGGCGGAACATCAACGGCCCGCACCAGCGCCAACTCTTCTGCACCAGGGCCTCGACGGACAGACACAGCAAATATTTTGCCAACTCGTCAAGTTTCTCGGGCGCCCCCTCCTGGCATCGCTTCCACAAAAGCTGCCGCACCCAAGTGGAACTCAAGTTCGCCCTTGCCCGCGCGAGCACGCCTGGGCCGCGCATCATGCGGAAGATGGCAGCCTCGCCCATGAAGGAGGAACGGTGAACCAACAGGCGGCACCGCCACTTCCGCAGCCACAAAACGGAAACGCCGAAACTCTTTGACAACAGCCAAAAATCCCGATGACTGAAACCAACATCGAGACGTTTCTTGTACGCCCTGGCGTCGCCGGGTACAGGCTCTTCTAGGAAACCGCACCAATACCGTGTTCGGCGCCTCACCTCTTTTGTCTGGCCGTTGGCAGTCTGCACCGTCATCACATCGAAACAACGGGAACACCACTGGGTATAACAGCCCAGATGACACAGCACATTGTGAGTGAATCAACGTTGGGTGAAACAGTTGGCTGTCCTTCGTGGCCCCAAACGCAGCACTGGAAAGGCGTTGCGTTTCAAAGCCATGGCCTCCAGTACGCCTGGCCGTCTGTGTGCCCCGTCCACTTGAGGCCCTCCTCCGCGGCCCAGCGTTGCCGCAGCTCCAAGCTGCGAAGTTCCGTGCACGCGTGGTTGGAGCAGCCCGGACACAGGGGAGGCCCCATGACGGGCCGCCTCGATCCGAAACATATTGTGCGCGGAAGGGGTGGTGGTGATAATGATACTGGTAATGTTTGTCGCCGTGTTCTTGCAACGCATTAATTTGTTATCGATTGGACTGCAATCGATTGGACTGCAATCGAGTTGTTCCCCACATCCTGAGTGGGGGTCTTGTTTTCCCAGAACATCCTCTCCTTCTCCCTCCCGCCTCCCGCCTCCCAATGCCCCTCCCACCCCTCCAGGGAGGCCCCGCCTGAGCGAGGAGGGTATCGGAAACCCACTGTTTACATGGTTTTGTGCTCCTCCCACCCCTCCACGGAGGCCCCGCCTAAGCGAGGAGGGTACCGGAAGCCCATATTATTTACATTGTTTCATGCCCCTCCCATCCCTCCAGGGAGGCCCCGCCTGAGCGAGGAGGGTATCGGAAACCCATACTATTTACATGGTTTCGTGCCCTTCCCGCCTCTCCAGGGAGGCCCCGCCTGAGCGAGGAGGGTATCGGAAACCCATACTGTTTACATGGTTTCGAAACCCTCCCATCCCTCCAGGGAGGCCCCGCCTGTTTCGTGCCCCTACCACCTCTCCGGGGAGGCCCCGTCTGAGCGAGGAGGGTATCGGAAACCGACACAATTTACATGGTTTCGTGCCCCTCCCACTGACATGGGTGAGGAGGAAGAGAACATTACCTATCCATCTCACGTCTTACTCCTCCCACTGAGGAGGGTGAGGAGGAGGGGGAGTTCTGCGATGAGGAAGGCTTCATCATGATGATGGTGATGACGATGGATATACTGCTGTTCACGATGACGATGGCGATAATGGTGATGGACGATGACGATAACGGTGATTATGATGATGATGGTGATGATGCTGATGATGATGACGATGATGATGATGACGATGATGACAAGAATGGCGACGACGACGACGACGATGATGATGCAGATGCTGATGATGATGACGATGCTGCTGCTGATGCTGACGTTGCTGGTGCTGTTGATGATGATGACGACGATGATGTTGATGATCGTGACGTCCACGATGATGCGGACGATGATGATGCCAAGGACGGTGATGGTGATGATGATGACGATGTTGATGATGATGACGATGGTGGCTACGACGATGATGATAATGACGATGGCGCTGACGATGATGATGATGATGCTGATGATGATGATGAGGAGGATGATGATGATGATGATGGTTATGATGATGCCGATGATGCTGACGATGATGCTGATGATGATGATACTGATGATGATGACGATGATGCTGATGATGACGACGACGAAGCTGGTGATGGTGATGGTGATGGTGATGATGATGATGATGATGATGATGATGCCGAGGATGAGGAGGACGAGGAGGAGGAGGAGGAGGAGGACTCGCTTGAAGGAGGAGGGTCGCGGACAGCATTACTCTTTACAAGTTTCGTAGGCCTCCCCCCTTCCAGCGGGGCCCCGCCAGAGCGAGGAGGGTATCAAGAACCCGTGCTATTTACAAGGCTTCGTTTCCTGAACACCTGTCCTCCCTCCTCCTTTCTTTCGTCTGCCCTCTTCGTGCGTACTTACTCGTTCGATGAGCTTCTCCTTCGTGTTGATGCTGTCGTACCCCATGGGTCCCACGAAACCGTTTATCTTTATGTGGGGAACTCCGTTTGCATAATTTTACAATTGATTGGACTGCAATCGATTCCACTGGGTTTGCACTTGATTGGCTTGCAATCGATTGGACTGGAACCGCTGGGGGGGCGCACAGGGCAGCGACGAGGAGGCGGCGACGGGACGGTGACGGCGAGCAAGGAACCGCCAGACCGACCCTCAGGCCAAGACGACGGGCGGCGACGACGCAGCAAGGGGGGGCGACGGCAAGGACGGAAAAACCAGACCGCCCCTCAAGCCCAGACGACGGGCGGCGACAGGGCGGCAACGGCGAGGAGAGAGCCGCCAGACCGCCCCTCAGACCCAGCTACTAGGAAAGAAGAGAAGGCCCCCTAAGTGCAAGCACTGTTTGGGAAATGTCATGATGTTCAATGTCAATGATGTTTTTCATCCGGTGCCAGTGCCGGTGTGCTGGTGCCGGTGCGGTTGCGGGTGCCGGTGCTGGCGCCGGCGACGGCGACGGCGCGGTGCCGGTGCCGGTGCCGGTGCCGGTGCCGGTGCCGGTGCCGGTGCCGGTGCCGGTGCCGGTGCCGGTGCCGGTGCCGGTGCCGGTGCCGGTGCCGGTGCCGGTGCCGGTGCCGGTGCCGGTGCCGGTGCCGGTGCCGGTGCCGGTGCCGGTGCCGGTGCCGGTGCCGGTGCCGGTGCCGGTGCCGGTGGCCGGTGCCGGTGCCGGTGCCGGTGCCGGTGCCGGTGCCGGTGCCGGTGCCGGTGCCGGTGGGCGAGAATCGCTCTATAGTGCGGCACTGGGGCCTTCGGTGCAGCTCCTTATGGGGCCACGCGTCGTGCGAGGGGTGTGCCGAAATGGGCGTGCGGGACGCATGCGGGCGGCGGTTCCAGGGCCTTCGGTGGCCGAATTGGGCGCGCGGGACGCATGCGGGCGGCGGCACTGGGGCCTTCGGTGGAGCTCCCTGTGGGGCCACGAAACGTGTGAGGGGTGTGACGAAGTGGGAGTGCGGGACGCATGCGGCCGGCGGCGCTGGGGCCTTCGGTGGCGCTCCATATGGGGCCACGAAACGTATGAGGGGTGTGCCGAAGTGGGTGTGCGGGACGCATGCGGGCGGCGGCACTGGGGCCTTCGGTGGGGCTCCCTAGGGGGCCGCGAAACGTGTGAGGGCCGTGCCGAAGTGGGTGTGCGGGACGCATGCGGGCGGCGGCAGTGGTGCCTTCGGTGGAGCTCCCTGTGGGGCCACGAAGCGCGTGAGGGCCGTGCCGAATTGGGTGTGCGGGACGCATGCGGGCGGTCGTACTGGGGTCTTCGGTGCAGCTCCCCCTGGGGCCACGAAACGCATGGGGGGTGTGCCGAAGTGCGCGCGCGGCCGGCGGCGCTGGGGCCTTCGGTGCAGCTCCCTATGGGGCCCCGAAACGTGTGAGTGAGGGGTGTGCCGAATTGAGCGCGCGTGACGCATGCGGCCAGCGGCACGGGAGCCTTCGGTGCAGCTCCCTATGGGGTCACGAAACGCGTGAGGGGTGTGCCGAAGCTGATGACGATGATGGTTTCGATGATGGCGATGATGATGGCCATGAGGATGATAGCGACGATGATGATGGTGATGACGATGGTGAGGACGACGACGATCACGGCGACGATGACGATGATGGCGACGGTGACGATGATGATGGCGGGAGGGAGGAGGGGGAGGAGGAGGGGAGTGAGGACGCGGGGCGCTGTCTCTTCAAAACGAGAACCCAACACCACAGGATGGTTGGGAATAAAAAGCGAACGGTTATTCGGGCGCCCGAAATGGGCACGGAGAGAATGGGCACGATGCCCAACAGCAGTTCCTGTTCATTTTGAAGAGGACTCGCTGTCCCCGCCGCCGCGGCCTGCGCCCATTCGAGACAGAAGGCCGCCCGCCCAACAGCGGCCGCTGCTGGTTTGGGACAACATTTGTCGACGGGCATTGCACCCAATTTTTCTGCACCCATTTCGGGCGCACAAAGGTTACAGTTGTAGATCGCAGCCGCACGACCAATCGGCGAAAACCGTCGCGTCTGACATCCCTCGCATGCACAATGCGCGACCCCGCGTTCCTCCGGCGTGGAATGCGCAGCGGCGCACGGCCCCATCGACGGCGCGCGAGAATTGCTACGAAAGCACGCACGCCGGGCCCGACACAGACTGGCAACGACGCAGACGCGCGCCGCGGGCCCGGCGCGCGCGCGCGCAGGCGCGCACTGGGGAGAACGCACGCACTTTAACGGAACGGCTTCGGGAGCCGAGGCGCGGCCAGCGTGCTCGCGCTCAGAAACTCGGGCGCGAGCCGCAGTTCCCGCGCCGGGGCGCGCCAGCTGGTTGGTCACGTCGAACCGATAAATCCATAAGTACCCGTCGTCGATGAGACGCGCCCACCCGCGGCGGACGCGCGCCCCGCTCGCGTCGGCGAATACCGCGGCAGATCGGCGCTCTGCCTGGCGGCGCCAGGCGCGCGACCGCGCCACCGCGGGGCCGCCTCGCGCCGCGCCCGGCCTCGCCGGCGCGACCAGGACCGGTCGCGTGCGCGCGCGCCGAGCCACCACCGCGGCGCCGGGCGAAGTGGCTCCGAGAGCTCGCGCGAGCGACAGTGGGCGCGCGCGAACTATGGCCCGCGATGACGCGCGCGCGCGCGGAAGCGACCCGCACGTCGCAGCGACGGCCGCGCAGCGTCGCGCCCAGCCGCCCAGCCCCCACTCTGCCCAACGCGTTGAACATGCACGCGCAGCCCCAAGAGTCGCCGCGACCACTCGCTCTCCTCGCCCCCCGCGCACGGCGAGGCGGCACGTCGCGTCGCGAAGGCGGCGCGCACCTGGCCAAATCCTGTCCGCGGCCAGGCAACTGCAGATCAG